TATACATTTCTTTCTTTTAGTGGTCACAATGGTGTAAAGTCAGTAATCAGTAGTTTGAAGTCAGATGTAAGTAAAGTATACAGGTAGGCTCTTTTAAACATTGTATAAACATAAATTAATATATTAATTATAATAGATTAATAATGAATTATGGGGAAAATTTGATGTCTTAGTCAGTTAAATATCGTAAAACCTCGAATATTGAAGCCCCATGGCAATAATCTCGAGAAAAAGCCCATTTCAAAATGAAGCCAACCTCTTCAGCTTGCAAAAGTCATGTTGAAAAGAAGCCCATGAGCTTTTAATCATGATAGCTTAGGCTTTTTCGAGATAGTACATTCAGTCACATGGAATATATGATTGTTGTTTCCTTAAAAACTTAAACACTAGACTAGTGCATTAACTCAAATATTATACAATGTGTGCTGTGTTACAAATTGTATTTTGTTTTGTCTTACCAGAAAATGCCAAGGTTGAGAATTGGTATTGGAAGACCAGTTAGCAGTGGCAGCGTTATCAGCTTTGTTCTAGGGCGCTTCACAACTGAAGAGAAAGAACAACTGCCAAAGATCATGGACAATGCCATTGAAGTATTGCAGACCAGCATCAAGAAAAGGGCATCTGGTCTGGGATCTTGACCATTCCTGGTCAGTTTCTTAAGTTTCCTTGCAGCCATACGTTTTTTGCAACCATACAATAGTGTTCAATCATGCTTTAATTTTGTCAATTATTTAGTAAAATAAATTTGTTTTCTTATAATTAATATTATTATTAAATATATATTAATATTAAATATATAGTATCATTCTTATTTCAAAATATTTTTTTTTCAAACTATGATTTTTAAAATTATGCTTATTATTAATTATTCAATTTCTTATTACTTCCTTGTTTATTATGTTTTTTATAATACTACTATAAAATGATTACTCTATGTCCTTTAATGGTTTTTTCCTACAGTTGCTGTTCATTATTGTTAAAAATGAGCTGACAATTTGGAGTGAGTGAAGGACAAAAATGCCAGAAGAATTATGCATAGATTGAAGTGGAAATTAGAGTGAGCAAAGAAGTCTCTTTTTATCTCACAGCAGCACTGCATATTTTCATTTATTTATTTATTTAAATTCATTTTTGAACGAGGGTGTAAACTCAATCCGTGAGGACATTGCTTTCCATTGGGACCCGCAAACAAGACACAGTGAAATATAAAATTATTAAAACAATTCATCTTGCATCCTTTGAAAGTATCAGAAAATACAAAGGAATTAAATGTTAAACAAGTTACATTACATAAAGAAAACACAAACAAGAAATGAATAACATCAAAGTTTTAAATCTGTTAAATAGAGCATATATTTCTGCTCAATAAGTTGGTTGGAATTTACAAGTTAAAACTATAGTATACATTGTATGAGGGCAGATGCATAATTGATGTGGGGGACAGTGGCAGATGTTTTACAGATGCATTATTATTCCCAATTCACTTAAGTAGAATTAAAAGTACTGAATAGAAAAGACAGGGGTGGATCTAGAGATGTCCAAAAGGGTGTGGGGCCGAAAGGTGGGGGAAGGGCGATCAAGAGGAAAGCCTTGGACATGCTCCATGAAATTTTTGTTTTCCAGGCGCCCGGAAATAACCTGTAAGGCATTTTAGGCGATCATTAAGTTATTTTATTTATTTATTTTTTTTTGTTTACTTTTAAAAAGTGGCTCACCTTCCCCCACCTTTCAAAATCTGTCCATGAAAGAAACCTTTCAAGGTCTCTTATGTCAAAATACACACAAAAGGGAGAGGGTTGTAATAATTAATGGTCCCACTCATGCAAGATATAGGTTAAGAATTATTTGTTTTGAAATTTGTCACCACAATAGCTTAATTTATTTTATACAAATGGTTTTAATAAATGAAAATCATTGAAAAAATAATTCATGTGCATTGTATCTGTAGTAATGTTACCACACATAAGATATTACATACAGACATTATCATTTTTAACAGAACGTGATATTCTACATACGAAATGCGATTTTTTTTTTCTGTTTTAAATGAATCAGTTTTTAACTCCTGTTGGAATGAAACATCTTGAGTTGTTATTCAAGTCGTTGGTTGGTCAGTAAAACTTAACAATTGACCAATCAGAACAAGGTCAAAATACGCGCTTGTTTGGCAAATGCCCGTTGTCCCAAATTATTGAACCCAACATTAGCATATTGATTATCCCATCTTAAAAACACAAGGAAAAAAAAACAACATAAGAATTAGAACTACTCATATAGAACTAAATAATCGAAAAGTCCACTGATTAATCTCAGATAAGAAAGTATAATACATACTCCAAGTACTGAAATATACGCCATCGTGTTGGGATTCAATATTTCGACATTAATTATGTCATCATCAGGAATGAACCAAATAAATTCTCAACTTTCAGCAAGTCACAGTGGTCCCTCTCTGTGACGAAATTCAGCGTAATGCTACTATATCAATTTTGATGTTTAAAAAAAAAGAAAAAAAAAAGAATATATATAACATGAGATGGACAGCTTGCAACACAAGCAAAAAAAATCAGATGGGTTGAATGATTTACAGATGTTTTAATAAGAAAATCCTTAGTGATGCAAAAATATAAGGGTATTAATATTGCAAGACCATGAATTGTATTATCTAATTGTGTATATACAGTATTTGATTTAGTACATTTAATACAATACAGTAATGACAGTCGTAGGGAATGCAACTGTAGCTTGGTTGTTAATATGCTCCATATTCAGTATAAACTAAAACTTAATTCTTTAAGCCAACCCTGACATGGTTTATAGAGCACCAGTTTACTTTATCACTCATCGTGGGATTAGAAATAAGTACATAAATAAAATATATAAACGTAATGATAATGGGGATGGTGATACTGAATGAGATTGTTGATGATAAAGTGATATAATTAAATACAGTAAATATCGTGTTTATGTTCTATTAATGATTTGGTATACCAACATGTGTACAGATTGGTTCTGTTTCTGAGAAAAAGGAAAAAACGGCTAATGTTCACTCCATTAATTGTTCTTTTTATAATTTCGGTGAAATTATAAAACCGCAGAGATCTTGATCTTTGTAACATGTGTAAGGCCATTTAATCTATAATGTGTGCTGATTACAGTACAGAAATCAATAAAAAAAAATATGCAGATAATAATAATGATATGTTTATTCCATTCTAATCGTTTGCACTATCAGCTGTTTAGTTTGCTATAAGTAAAGCTATCGGTAGAATTAATTCCAGTAGTTTCATATGAAAGCAAACCATATAAAAATTACTGTAATACGATACAAATAGCATGAAGTTAAATAGAAAATTTAATGGGATTTTTGTAGCATTGACACTCTCAAAAAACTAAATAACAAGAAAATGAATAAAGATTCTTAGACATGTATAAACAAGCTAATTGTGTTTTTTAAACAGCTTAAAAATAATGAATTCACTTAAATTTACTGTGATGTATATGGGTAACCACACAGTGTCAACCACATAGGCCTACTTTGTTTTTACAGTATTTCACAATTTTTTTTTGGCCTACAATTGCTCTTGTTAAATGTTCAAGCGGATGAATTTTGCGAAGCTTGTTTATTTGAAGACCAACGAATATGATTTGTAAAACCTCGGGCCTCTTTACACATAAGATACACACGTCTTGATATTAATAGGCTACTGCAACTAATAATAAGCGCACTTAGTCACGAAAACACACATACACTATGTACAGCATTGGAATGGTTTGCTGGAAGGAAACGATAAACTTGCACTATTACCATAATATTAAAAATTGCAATTCAAGGCTTTTTTTGAATCAAGGTAGTGGCTATCACAGCATTATCCTTTTGTTTTGGTAGTTACTGGTGGTAATGCTTAGAAAATCGAGGACTTTCGTTGCTCCATTTCATTTTTTCGAGATAACATAAAAGCGGTAATATCACTGTGGACGTGTTGACTCTGCTTGGTTCACAGACACAAGTTCCAATGCCTGTATGTCAAGAAACGCAAATAATACAAACTATCAACCACCACCACAATGTATAAATAATTAGATATAATAATTATATAATATTTCAAAAACAGTAATAACAGCAGCAATAACAACAATATTAACGACATATAATAATAGTAATAATGTGATGGAAATTATATTGCTCAAATCAGTGCAGCATTAATCACAAGCAGAGATGATCCTCTAGCATCCAACGTTTTGCTTTTTAAGTGAGAGTTTGGTAGTGCTTGATTCTACCTCAAATAACGTAGGCCTATAGTCTTAAGGAAAATGTTGACTTTAGAAACACTAAAATTTATTAAAACAAATATTTTGGCTACTCCTGTAATCTTTGTCAACGCTTGACATAAAATGTTTTTATGTCAAACGTTGACAAAGACTGAAGTACTATACATATATATATATAGACCATAGGCGGGCAAAGTGCGGCCCGACAGTAATTTTTTGCGGCCCGCGAAAATGAATTTAAAACCCTATATATGTGGCCCGCAAAATAATCTTTGGCCATCTCTAAAAAAAAGTATTTAAACTGAGAATAAAATGGTGTAAAAGCAGTGCATGAAGGCCCTCGGACCGATTTTTATGCACACCCCTGATATAAACAAAATATTCGTTCCCTAATAAAAGTTAGTTGTATGAAAATATCTGGAGTGTGAGATTTGTGATTTTACCAAATTAATTAGGTCTTTGTGGTCTAGTGATATCACACCAAGATAGTGAAAGGATGCAGGTTCAAATCCATCAAATCCCACCAGAAACACTTTTTCATACAATTGAAAGAGGAACTTTCGTTGGATGGTAGCCATTTGAAATCCAATATGGCGGCCATCTGACATAATTTCTGATGATTGCATGATACTGAAAACATGGTTAAAAATGGGATTGACTATGTTAGGTTTTGTAGATATGAAGATGACGAAAATAACAATAATAATAATAATAATAATAATAATAATAATAATAATAATAATAATAATAATAATAATAATAATAATAATAATAATAATAATAAATAATTTTGTATAGCGCCTGTTAGAAAAAATTATTTGTCACTGGTGCTTAAAGATATAAGAATTATTTGATCAAAGAGATAGGTTTTAGTCCTAAGTAGGGTCTTTGAATGTAGTATCAGTTGATCGAAGATTAGGTGGAAGAGAGTTCCATAATTTTGGAGCGGCTAAAGAAAAAATACCGTTCGCCAGTACAAACATGCAGCATTCTGAGAAAGATAACCTGAGAGAATTTGACTGTCTTGTGAAACGTAAAAATTGTTGTGAGATTGATGAAAAAAATAGTGTGGAGCGTATCTATGACAGAATTTATGAGTGAGTAGATTAATTTATACCAACATTTTGGCGGCCATCTTGAAACCCAATTTGGCGGCCATCTGAGATAATATTTGATGATTGCAAGATACTCTCTGATATTGAAAACATGAGTAAGACCTTTGAATGACAGTAGTAGGTGCTGTAGATACAAAGATATTGATAAAAATCAAAATATTTTGGTGGCCATTGTGAATTTCAAGATGGCGACCACTAGGAGGCGTTATTTTTGGGATCTATTTTATTTAATGATCCTTAAGTGTCATAGTACCACTGTGGGAAGTTTCATGCTTTCCTGCAAAAGTGCACGATTATTCTCCTTAGCTCTACTAATGCATGTAGACTAGAGATGTTAAGTATAATAAAAGAGATTAAAATGAACGCAGGCATATTGTCGGCATTTGTCTTGACATGCCAAAAAGTCTATAAGAGCAACATGCATTACTATTCAGAACGTCCATTCATAAAGGCAGGATGACAAATCAATTTATTGGATGTTTTTTACACATTAACAACCTATGATCCACACCATTCACAACACATGAAATTAGTAATGATCAAAACAATTAATATGTGACTCAAGCTCACAAAAGGGCTGTAAACTCGTCCTAAGGCCAAAATGAGTTTTTGTTATCATTTACTTTAAAATAACAGTTAAATGAACTTAATCGGGTATCTGGAAGCATATACAGTGTGAACAGCCCTCCCTTAAAAGGCAATTGCACACCGAAGATGGCAGTTGAACTGCTGAAACATGTTTGTACAATGAATTTTTATATTAAAACAGTTAGGCTCAGCCTAAATGGTATCTTTGAAAGCTGTTGTGATTTTATTGAGATTTATTGTATGTCTGCTGTTACACC